AACAATTGTTTTAAAAGTATTTTTCTTTCGTGTAATTCAATGTTCATATGAAAGTGGGGCGAGAGGGCTTTTTCTTTAAGGTTGTATCTGAAAGTTATTTCTTTGCATGACCTGAACATCTTTGTATAGCGTTTGTCAGATGAGAATCTGATGTTTTGTTTCCAAATATGATCATCAGTATCCATTTCTGATTGCAGATTATATTCACATATAATAATTGCGGATCTCAACTACTTCAGATGAGAAAACAACTTTAAGAAAGTCCGAAGAGTTTTTGCGATATTTTCATTTCACATTACTCCTCAATGACATGACTTCTTGACACTTGACTTCTGAACAGAAATCTTATCTATGTCTAGCATATTTGATTCAGTTATCAAGATGTGAAAATATGTGAATTATTATTACTATAATAGTTACATGAAAATATCACATAAATATTCCATTGTATAATTATATTTAGAATATAATAGGTAACTTCGTCTCAATTGTTTAGTTCAAATTAATATACAGTAATAAAAATGTAATGTGGAAGTAATAAACGCGATAAAAATGTCACAGAACAAAACAGTGCGCGGTGACTCAGTAACTTATGAAACGTAAGCAAAAAATGCGATAAATTCTCCTTAACGTTGAATTCATAGTGGGATACAATTATTTTGGGTGACAATAACTTGGAGTGACAATTTGAGGTGAGAGAAGTCTAGAAATCCAATATTAGTCTTCATTCTATCTGTACATAACAAGCATTTTGTGAGAGAGATCATTTTCATTGTTATTATTAGAACTCTAATGACAATATGCGCCATGTAAAGGGCTGGAATTAACATAAATAATACATATGAGTCATTAGTATTCGCGATATTCAATGAAATAATAGGTGGATTTGTTATTCGACCAACATATCCAATCTAGAAGGTGTAGATTTAAAAATTCTGTAGACTCTAGTTAAAATAGTCCCATGTGAAGTCAACTGATTATAAAATCAAAATCAATTAACAAANCTTTTAACCCTTACGTACAACCACCCACATCATGCAAACGATCAGATTAACATACCAACATTATTAAAAATCCGTAGGACATTGATGCTATCAATATCTGACGCGCTCGAGTATGTCCATGCAACAGTATTTTTTTACATATTTAAAAATCTATAGCCGCTTCCCCCACCGATGACATTTTTTTCTTCTTATCATCTAAGCTTTGCAACCTAATATGTCTCAATGACGCTCGAGTAAATCCCCATTTTGCATCGTGGGCTCCCCTACTACTAGTACCGGACGGACTCAACTTCGAACCCCTATCGCCGAACACTATTGAAACACCACGCATCGGTCGCATAAATAAACATCTTCACATTCAGGAATGTCGGCACATGTTTCATGAGCCCACTCTTGACAACTAGAGTATTATATCCAGTCTTCTTCGTGGTCCTCTAAGCACAAGTTATGTGAAGAGATTTTGCAGACTATCCAAGGAAATGCAGTGCTTGCAGATTCCCACCCCGGATTCAGAAACGATTATCATCATAACTTTTTATTCATTCTTTTTGCAGGTCTCGATGTGAGAAGTTCTCTAGAAATTTTATATTGTAATTTTGAGTAAAATAAATTGTTTTTAAAACGGTTTTCGACTTCAAAGTTACTTAACTCACACTACGCAAGTAGTTTTTTCGATGTTACATATTTGAAGTTAATGGTTCCTTTTTCTTCGTTTCATGTCAAGTTTTTCCTTTGACCTTCACACCTTTGTTTCGTTTCTCCTTCTCTTCTACTATTATTTTGAACTTGGATCTCATTCTTTTCTTTTTTCCTCAAGGTTTTTTTCATTCTCTTCTTCTTCAACAGCTTCTTTCACATTTTCTCTTCCGAACCGCTGATCTTTTTATGGCAGCATATGGCGATGTTGACAATTCATGGACAATCTGAACAACATCTGGATCAAAGCTCGACGACTGCTTGGGACTGCCGATTATTTGTTCGTTGATAGACTCTCTAGGAGTGACTGTAGATTCTTCTGCAACTTCCCCGCTGCAACTTGGTATGTTTAAGGAAGTTTCTAGCTCTTCTAGTGGAATATTGGTCATGTCTGCAGCCAAATAATACACGTCAGAAAATAAATGCCTATCAAATGGGTAAATTCCTGTGCATTCAAACCAGACACCGCAATATCCAGCCGAGCTACTTTAGTAAACGCTTATTTGACCAGACCAGCAATATCGTAGTCGGTTATTCGAGATCCGGCGTTTGCTCTCATCCACATGTCGCATCGTTGGTTATAAGCATCTTTGAATGGATTCATGAATGTTCTGTCCAGCGGTTGGAGCTTGTGGGTGGTATGTGGTGGTGAGCTCATCACATGAACGTTGTTTTCTCGAAAAAAATTGATAACCGTCAGTGTCTTGTGGCTGCAATGGCCATCCAGTAGGAGCAGCACAGGGCTCTCTTTTGTCGGGTGTGAGTATTTGACGAATATCTGCAACCATTGTACGAAAAAATCATAGTTCATCCAGCCATTTGGCTGAGCCACGCCAACGCTTTCGGCTGGAGCATTGATCATGAGCGTATCATTCATCCTTTGTCTAGGAAAGACAAAAAATGGCGGTATGAAGTGGCCGTCGGTACTCATACAAAACAAAACTGTTATATTTTTGCCCCTTTCAGCAGAAGGGAGCTTTCCCACTTGACGGACACCCTTCGGAGCGAGAACTTTTTGATGTTTGTGCACGCAGCTGACTCCGGTTTCATCACAGTTATAAATGTTATAAGGTGAAATTATGTACTGTGTCATTAGTCTTTCCATATTGTCATAAAATATATCTACTTGCGGTTTATCAAACCCTACGTCTCGCGTCATGCTTGTCGATGGTGCTCTCAATGAAATTTCCGTATGTCTCTGCATGAAATCATCATGAAAATGCTTCCCGGCAGCTTACTTCTCTTTGTTGAAACGATGGGGGATCTTCATTGCTTCAGCGAAGTCGAAAGCTAACTTCAGAAACTCCTTTTTCATCAGCGGCAGACATCTATTGGATAAATCTCTTACGTGGTCCACTAAAACTTGTTTTAGTGGTATTAGTGAATCTACCGAGCTTTGGTTGCAACGTCACTTCTTCTTCACGGTTCAATGCCGATGTTTCATCATGTAGAGTGCTTTTTGTGATATTGTAGCGTAGTGAAGCTTTCCTCAAACTCATGTCTTTCGGCATCTATTGCAGTTTGTAAACTCTTTCAGTCTCATTTTCCTTTTTTTTTCATCTCTTCCATTTCGATTTATCTCCGTTATTCTATCATCTGAAACAACTTATAATAATCATAATAATAAATATAAATGCTTAGTAGAAAAAACAACTTGTAAACTGTCCGGTGTTAAGGGACATATTTGTGTCCGGTACTAGGGAAAACATGATCCCTAACATTACGTGTTTCATACTAAAAGTGTTTAGAAAATTNTTCACCGCTGTTACCTCTTGTGAGTGACGTTGTTCCACCCCAACATAAGTATACGTCTCTCCGGCATCCAAATAGTGAAGGATGCTTCCATCTACGAACTGTATACCTCTCCGTAGTCATCGCATCGTCCTCTTTTGAGATGGACCATTGCACATTTGTCTATACCTACCAAATTGCATACCGATAGTATGCGTGTACTTTTTCACCACCCTCAAGGACTGATGGAAATCCTTCTCTACAGAGGCATTAAGTTTAAGATCATCCAAATAAAACAAATGGGTGACCTTGTGCCTCCGGGGGTTCCACAGTTATACCCTCGAGTATTTCTGAAAGCAATAATGAGATGCAGAAGAGAAGGGGACTGAGGGAATCGCCCTGAAATACACCCCTTCTGGAAATGACCCTTCCTGTTTGGACTCTCGCTTGACCAGATGTTATGGTGAAGCGAATTCGCCACAGTGGTATCAGTTGTTCAAGGCATCTCACTATTTTGTGGGGAACCGCAAGGCATTTGAGCAAATGCAAGATGAGCTTATGCGATGCTGTATCAAATGTGCTTATATTGTATCGAGTTCCGCGTTACACATCTATCGATGACCAGGTTCTCTTTACGTCCAGCGACTCCTCTCTTCAACTGTCTCTGCTCATATATCCGTTTGAACACTCGGTCTACTGCGGTGAGTATTCGTGTGTATGAGATGCTTGTAAACAACTTATAAAACATGTAATTTTTAGGAATCGATAAATCTCCACTTTTTTTAATGAGAACGGTGTGCCCCTCGACAAACCATTCCGGAATCGGCTGCTCTCCGTTCAGCCATTAGTTGAAAACTCTTGCCAGGCCCACCTAGGCCTGGAGCAGCAAAGTTTTTTGAACCCATAAGGGCTCTTCGAACGTCATTCGGGGTTATCGGGTTGCGCAGTTCATTGAGATCAGGCTGACGAAGCCTTCTGTTGAAAGCTTCGAACTGCGTTGGGGCTGGAGTGTCTGAGTTTAGTGGCTGCGGGTGTTCGTAGATGTCCTTCCAGAAGGAGTTCACCTGATCAGCGGATTATGATGGTCGGCAGATTTTATCCACAACACGTGTATCTAGGAATCTAGGAATTAGCGAGAAGGTTTATCGCGGAACCTAAGGTTTTCCGTGATACTTCTCGCTCGCCTCACTAGTGACTTCTCAGCAGCCACTAGCATTCGTATTCTATCAAGGCAGTGCTGTTTGGTGGTCAGCAGAACGCCTTGATCAAAGTGTCATGGATGCGTTTCGTCTACTACTGCGGTATACATCATCGAAGGCGATTAGGTAACGGTCGAGGTGCTCGAGGTAGTATATTCAATGTTGGAATTTGTCTCCAGTGGACTTGGCTTCGTTTCTCTCAATAGTTTTAATTGATAGCCAGAAAATAGTCTTGCCACAGTCACCTCCAGCCGTGGAAGTTTACACTCTTCGATCATTTGTGTATTTTTTATCTTCGTATATTTTGGTACACTTACTTTCCAATTCATTAACTCAAAAAGTACCTATTCATTGCAAAGGATTACAATCAACATTTCCATAATAAAGACTTCAAAGAGACATTCATAAATTCAGAACGTTGTTGAAGTAATCTTAAAGATAAATCACTTATCGATTTTTCTACAAAAATACTCGTAATCAGATACTGCCGTTTCGTAATATTCATACAGAATATATTTTATAGAACGTAAACAAATCGAAGCCTGATAAGTCTTAATGAAATATAACTTTCATGACCTAATTTACGTGCATATTCGCATTGGACCAATTTCGTCTATTTGTTCACAGATATAGCTAATCTGCATCAATATTTGTGTCAAATATTTCCGTATTTGTCATTGATAACCCAGGCAACCGTGTTGATCAATTAGTTCTCCCCTTTTTTAGTACGCTGCTTTGAAATTACATGAGTTCGGTGATCGTTTCAGTAATAGAAATGACATGTTCAGTACTTTGACACGGGTTCTTGTTATGTTTTGCTGTAACAGCCGTAAGAAAAGTAAGTTGTATTTTGGTGTGCGCAATTTTTGTAGTGCCTCGTTCTTTTTCGAACTAATCTGATACTAGAAAAATTTCGGGTCCGAAGTTTTGATCTCATTTATCATACTAAATACTGCTTTTATTATACCCTCCACCATCTCATTCGACAATTTCCCAACCAACTTACACCAAACACACTTTTTTTCTCACACCACCAGTATAAATGATGTAAGACAGTATTATCACACATAGCTAGTTGAATTGTGAATTTTTATATTTATTTCTGACCGGGATATTATAAGCTTATATCGTCATAGTTACGCTATCAATAAAGAGGGTCATAACTCCCTTGGGACATTATAGATTTTATAATTCCCTCTACCTTTCACAAGTAAAAATAAATAGAAATGAAAACTGAACCATATTTTATTTATTCACGTCATTACAAATAATAAATGTACAATTTTGAAATGTTCCCTGAAAATTACTTCCGCCACTGGAAACAATTTCTTCTTTTGTATGGCTGGAGCTTCTGTTCACTACAGTCGAGGTACCTGCCTCTTCTGATGACAAAGTAGACAACATACGCGCCGTTTTATTTCTCAATTCGNGGGTGGATTGTATATATTGTATTCCATACATTGTATTTTTTTTTCTTACCCATCAATAAAAACAATTAATATTATTATTATTATATAACCGATTTTCAATCGAGAATTCTCACCTTTGATTTGTGTATAGACAGGAGCCAACCTCTAACATAAACTATTAAAAATATTGTCAGACAGCCAAGCGGCTTCGGAAAGCATCTCTCATCTAGCAACGTTCAAGTTGACAGTGAACTGCGAAAAGCCCTCAATTTGAAGATTCAACGACTCGTCTCTTGTTCATATTCCTGGCCACATCAGCCTGAAATGCAATGAAAGTGCTGACTCTTTCGCAAAAAAGGCGCAGCAAATGATTTCATGGCACCAAGACATGTCATTGGCATCACTTTACCAAATACACACTGAACACCTGAAACACTCATTATATGACTCTGTTTGGAATATGATGAAAGAGCAGAACAAATGCTCTATGCACGCTTCATCGCGAAACGAATCCAGTTTTCAGAGTTTTGCTGAAATAGACTGATTAAGAAGCCTTTTGTTGACATAGTATTACATATCTGTCTGTTTGAAAATCTGTTTTTCCGTTAATCAGCTGTCGCCCCCATACGAACGATAACTTTTAGAAGTTGAGAAACTTGTGCGAGCTGATAGCTAACGAAGTCTTACCTTTTAACGTGTGATTCCTAACACTTCAGAAAATGCTTCGATTCGAGATACTATCTCACTAGAAATACTTGTTTTTTTATATATCTACTGTTCCATATATTCGTAAGATATTAACATTTGGTGGCCTAGAAATTTGAAAAAGAGAAGATTCATTGGCAAAACTAATATTTTTTCCGTTAGCTACAGGCTGAACAGTACTTCTCATAAAGAATATATTCCGAGGCCATAGTCTCGTTATTATTTCTATCGTCATAGTTTTATTCTGATACCATATTAAAGAACTCAATTGAAAATATTCTCGTCTTTCTTTTGCGAACCTATCACAGAAAATTCTGGAATTTACGAAGTTGAATGTAAGGACTGCGATGCAAAATATTATGAACAGACAAAAAGATCTATTATAGTAAGATATAAGGAACACATAGCACACTTAAAATATGGAAGACCTGAAAAATCAGCAGTCGCCCATCATATTTTGCAAAAAAAACCATTCCATAGACTTCAGTTCATTAAGATTAGTTAGACAAGTTAACAACAACAGGCAACTAGATGCCTATGAGAGTGTAGAAATAAGTAAACACAATAATATTATGAATAACGATGACGGACCTATACCAAAGAGCATACTATATAGCTTGTTAAAATGAAATAAAATAATGTTGTTGGGTTTACTGAAAACTACATAAGGATACATTGCAAAAATAAATTTGGATAGACAATATTGTGAAATTAATTTTCATGAGGCTGACAATTGTTTTATATAAACATATATTGTAAAACAATAGATAAGGCAAAATTGTAAAATTAATTTAGCTTGGTATACCTGTATGGTTGGTACGCCTGGAAGGTTT